TATGTTTTTATGATGCTGAATCATTTAACTAAAATATATATCGTTAATAATATTTTATATTAACAAGTCTCAGTTTCCAAAAACAAAATGTCACCAACATATTATATCATATATTTAATTATAATAATATAATTAACAACTTATTAATTTCGTAAAACTGTCTGGCAGCAAATCGACCAAAGCCCTCAAGTTAGGGTATTTCTGAAAATGAATGCAAAAGCCGGGTATATTTCCATGTAAAGTCCCAAATCCGGCTAAAACCGCTATCCTCGTGTCCATGACCGAAAATATTTCCGGCTACAACTGGTATGCCCTATATATATATATACATACATATAATACAAAAATGGGCTCAGACTGCTCATACTCTCAATATCTAACTTCCATTCGAGTATTTTGCGTTATTTATTCGAGCAAATTAATTGAGGCCTACGAAATGAAATGCCTTTATGGATGGCCGTCTATTTATGGCTCTGTCGCTCGTCTCGGCTAGAGTTTTGTCAATCAGTAGAGTGCGGACTGTGACCCTTTGAATTGATGGAACTGTAACTCGAACCGAGCTCCAATAGGCGCCGCATTGAGCGCTTGGGTCAATTAAGACAGCAGCGAAAGGCGTAGGCAAAACAACTCGAGGGCATATCGATTATGCCCTCGCCCCAAGGCAGGCAGACGCCACTGGTCGAGAAAGAGCTGCAGAATGTGCACTTGATTAGCTCTTCAAGTCAAAAGTAATGGCCCAGTGCAATCCCAATGTCAGTGAGAAACGTCTCCCATATTCAAGTGTCAACTGCGAATCACACTCTCATTTATATTGGGACAGGGCAAGGAAATCCCCCGCACAGCAGCTGGATCACACTTTGCTGCCATATGTCACTGTCTCTGTAAATATTCGTAATGATCATGATCGTAATCATAATTAAGAGATGACTTCAAGTGTGCACTGCTGCCCCTGACCTTGTTTCTCTCAAGAAGTTTCAGCTCGAATCGATTCTATATATGTATATGTATGTATGTATGTGCTTATAATATTTGTATTTAGGTTACATCGAACTGTGCTGAGGGGGAAAAACGAGAAAACTAGTTTCAAATTTAATTCAATTACAATATTATTCTAGCTAGCAGTAGTTAGTAGGTGATTAAAGCATTTTAAAAATAGATAAATAATAATTTACACTTTTCAGCTACAATTATTTGTATAATTTTATATGCTAATTGAAATTGAAAAGAAATACCTCAAAATCTTATGATACCCTTCATGAGATCTGTCGCAAAATATCAGAAAATAGTTTAGTTTTTATTTAATTTTTTAGTTTTTATTTAATACAAAATTTATCATTTGAGCTTCATAACAAAACTATAATAATTAAACATAAATCAATAATATAATATTATAATACAATATTTATGATATTATATTATAAATGCCAAATTATATTATATTATAGCTCCATTATTATATGTAAGTATATAATATTTTAATTATTTTTGTATATAAATTTCATATTGTTTTTCTTGGAAATTAGCAAAAGCTTTTGTCTGGCTTTCATGTTAATTAGCTCTACCACTATAATCATATTACATGATAATATATATGTACATATATCTAAAACTAGACTCTTAATCGTTTGGGAATTAACGAATACAAATTGATAAATAGAAATTCTATAAAATATGCCAAAAGTACGGGATTTTTTTTTTTTAATATTTATCTTTAGTTATACAACTAAGAAATTATGCCATGAACATTACGTGAACCGAAATAAAGTAAGTGAACAATTTTTTTTTTCAGAAGAGGTCATAACTCACGAGGGTAACCACCATACAAAGACAGAGAGAAAGAGACAGAGAGAGAAACCAGTTAATACTTAAGCAATTAAAAAAGCTTGCCACAAAGACAGCTATTGACATTTTGAGGGTCGCGGCCAGTAAAAGCTAGCACAGGTTTTCAGCAGACTTGCCTAGTTAGTTCAGATATTATCCACAATTTGGAATTGTCATGAAAAGTTGTCACGAGACTTGAACTACTTTGGCTGGAGTGGAACACGTACAATTGCCTATCTAGCTATCAAACTCAAGAGTTGACTTTAGTAATCTAGAGGAGAGTGCCAGCAAATTGAAGGCTGTCAACTAAAACTGAGGTGTTTATATGAGGTGTACATATGTGTGTATTGGAATCGGTTAGCACGATTTGATCTTTACCCTGCCGTTATGTTTTTGGTTTTTTTTTTTTTTTTCAATTATTTTCCATTTGATTGTGTTTTTCAGTTTAGCAAATGGTATTCCTTCAGCCGCATTATCTAACTTATGTACATGTCGTAAAGCCAACTAGAACTTGCTATCTTAAATATAGCGTTTACAGCGGTACTAATAGTAGTCTAATCTTTATAGCGCCAGCAATGACTTTTGTACCGCAGAGCATCGTTGACTTCGTTGACTTGAAAAAGGCTCGCACCGCACTCCACTGCAGCCAGAAGTAGATAAGATTTAGGGTTTCTATTTTCGACATGGGGCACAATGGTGAAGCATATATCCGATATAAATCTGACAGCATGTGATTCAGTTTATTGAAGTCGCACGCCGCCAATTCACCCATCTGAATGTAGCTCTAACTGTGTTTATTGTTTTTCTTTTGCTTTCATGTGAAATGGGTATATGGGCGTACTATCTGTGCGTACTCATGAAGGTTAAGCTATTTGGCTAGAGTCTTGAAATTGTGCATATATATCAATATATGCTGCTTAATCTTATCTTATAAGGTTGTAAGACATTTTTCATACACCCACAGAGTGCGAGGTAACTACGAAAATCTTGGTATTTTTTTTACAAATATTATAAATATTTGCTATACAATCCCTAAACGAGTATCATGCAGTCGTCTAAGCCCGACTGCAATATTCTTAGCTGTTACTTTTAGTAGGTGTGTCATCGAAATTCGTAATATCTTAATATCTTAATTGCGCCTGCGGCTCATTAATGGTTCGATTGCATTTATAGAGCCTTTAAAAACACACACACACACACATAAATTATATAGTGAATTTCCCAACACTTAAATGAACCAATTATATTATTTACTAATCAAATACAAGTACAACAAATATGATAAAGAATTTATAAAAAAAAATCCCTCAACTAAATCAGGGAGGCAAGCCTGTAAACACCTGTGCACAACACATATAATATGCATACAAAACAAAATTTAATATACCCAAGTCATTAAAAGTGTGAAAAGCCGTAAGAACCTTTAGCACGCAAATACTGTCTGTTCGCTTGTCAACGGAGTTAAATATTTAATTGAAGCGTTTGTGCGTTTAAATATTTGCTCGAGCGTTTCCTAATAAACTCAGCCGGATTCCGATGCAGTAGCTGGGGGCGTCACGCATTATGAAATCGCAAATTCAGGTTCATCTCTCATGAATTAATGTGTTAAAATATATGTATTTTTAGCCGGCATTTTATTAAGACGGAAGTGAAGTGCATTCGATGTCTTGTGATGTTTGAGAGTTTTCCTGATCATATCCAACTGTAGAGTATTCAATATTTGAGTATTCCTATCGAGAGTTTATTTGTCTGTCCATTAACGGTTTTTCTTCTATAACTGAATGACCCAGTCTTTACATTTACCTGTTATAATGGCTTCATTTGGTGGGCTCTACAGCAAATGTGTGATAAAAGTAACTAATTTAAATACAAGCACACACACACACATGCATAGCAATACGGACACACACACACACCAACGAAAGCGAGTCAAACAATGAAACACCTTGACCTTACGAACAGGTGTAATAATGTGCTCAAGTGAAGTTTGCCGACAGCAGGGCAAAAGTAAATAAATATTTACGAATACAATAATAAAAATAAAGGTAGCATAGAATCTCAAGTCAGCAGACGTTTGTTTATAAGATTAGACTGCCCGCGAGGCAAGCGGCATGTGAAACAAAAATCCATGAAGAAGAAGAATAAAGGAAAAGCATTAACAAACATATCCTGTTATCCGTTTTATTGAAATCTAAAATCAAATGGAACATGTTAAAATTCCTTTCAGCAGTACACTGGTAATAGTTTCATGTGCCTAATAATTTGTTTAAATAAAAGCAAGAATGCTTGTGTCTTGTTCACATATTTTCATTAAACTTTTTGCTTCATATACAGATTTTGCATACATAAGCGAATAATAATCACAGTTTGCTGATAACGAAGCGATGAAAGTGAAAATACGCCCATTGCAGTAGATTGCCATGCAATGAATTAACACAGATTACTTCTCTCATTTGCTGTTCCGCAAACAACAAACTTTATTTATACATACATATATATATTATGTATATATGTGTATATACTTTTGTTTTTCTTTGCGCGATTCTTTATAATAACAATAATATGGCATTGGCTTGTGCGACCAGTCAACAAGATATCATCAAGTGTTTTCGCAGCATTGTGGATGCTGTCGGCCTTTTGAACTCGACACAAATTTGTTGGCCATTGACCTGACGTCGAGTGGTTTTCTAAATACCCAGAAATAAGTCGATTTAACCTTTAACTGATGGCTTAGTGGTGAAAGTGTACAATGCTATACGTTTAACGTGCAAGATGTTTCAAGCTTAATAAATTTCAAGCGTTATCGAAAAATATTATCAATATTATCGAAAAATATATCAGTTAGTAATCGTTTTTGTTTGGTATTTTTTGGCCTCATCAAGCACAGCTGATAGTGTTGCGAAATATCGTGATTGACATTGCGATATATCACACAATATTTAGCTATACAATTCGAGCACTTCAAGTGAATGACTGTTATACAAAGGATATCTCTAATAAATCATAGCGACAATTTTATTATAATTACAATATTGTTATGATTATGAGTTATTTCTTTAATTAACTATTTAATTGTTATTTATACTCAAATATATCGTTTGGCTCATCCATGCTACCTATCGTACACAGAATTTGTAACTCATGTCCATCTCTATTTTTGCACAAGTCATATTGTTTTTGTGTTGAAAGTAACTTCATATAGTTGGAGGTGGATGTCGGAGGCCTAGACATGAGCGATAGCGACGACGCGATATGGCTAGAAATCGGTATTAATCCTCAACATGTTGTCTGTGAATCAGACGACGGCCTCTATAAGCTGATATGCGATAAGGGCTGGCTGCAAGCGTTGGAACGTCATCGAAAGCTTTCTCAATTCCCAGCCTGGCCCCAGCTGGATAGACGCGCACATCCCACGGGGCCACTGGAGCATCCCTGGACGCGCATATTGGTGCAAACTTATCGCAAGCAATCGCAACGCAAAGTCCATCCCTTGCCAGCAAGAGGAGCGAACGGTGATAATACACACTTCCCGCTGAGTTACTCACAAGCTGTAGCCAATGTAGCCAATCTCAACTTCAAGCAGCTGTGGGAGGCAGCCTACAAGCAATATGCAGGCGCTCACGTCAAGCAGTGCAGGTCTAATGCAGGCACACAGTCCAAGCAGATGTCAGCAAACAGCGGAGGATTTCAGCCACATGATGTGGTGCTCCGCGAGCTAATACAACGCATCTACAATTGCCCAGTGATACTGTGTCAACAGGAGGGTGATGGAATCTCTAACACTGATGTGAACTTGACGGGCGACTGTCATGCCAATGTGCTGCCCGCTCTGGTGGCCATCGAGACGAGCACACATTTCTGCATCTTTCACTATCCGCCAGCGCTGGAGTGCAGCCTTTATGACTGCATCAGCTACAGCCCCGCCCTGCTGGGCCGGGGATACAATAAGACGCTATTTATCATCTACCAGCTGTTACAGCTGTCAAGGTATTTGCAGTCGCAGGGCCTGTTCCTGGGCGATCTGCGACTGCAGCATGTGATGCTACGCGAGAATCTCTGGCTGCAGGTGCTGCCGCGCCTGCAGTGCAATTTACTAATGGGCGAGCAGTCGCCAGCGGTGGACATGTCGCCACTGAGCTGCCCCGAGTTGCCCAGCTCACCCGAACAGCTGCCATCCAGCAGCACCATCGATCTCAAGCTGGCCTACGATCCGGCTCAGTTCAATCTCCGCGAATACTGCGAAATGTGGTGCAATGGACAACTGTCCAATTTCGATTATCTAACCATACTCAACAATGCCTGTGGCAGAAGCCTGACGAATGCTGCCCATCACCACATAATGCCTTGGGTCACGGACTTTGCGGCCCGCAACGGCCACAACTGGCGTGATCTGACCAAAAGCAAGTATCGCCTCAACAAGGGCGACGTCCATCTGGATCTCATGTATACGCATGGCAGCCAGCACGCGACTGCCGAGGCTGTGACGCCTGTGGAGCAGCTGCAGGTGGCCCACCATGTCTCCGATTTTCTCTCGGAGATCACGTACTTTGTCTATATGGCACGACGCACACCTCAGTCCATACTCTGCGCCCATGTGCGACCCATTTGGGTGCCCGCCGAGTATCCGGTGTCGATACAGCGCCTCCAGGAATGGACGCCCGACGAATGCATACCCGAATTCTACTCGGATCCCATGATATTCAAGAGCATACACGAAGACCTGCCTGATCTGGAGCTGCCGGCGTGGGCCACATGTCCCGAGGACTTCATATGCAAGCATCGTGAAGCGCTGGAGTCGCAGCACGTTAGCGAGCGACTGCATCATTGGATTGACCTCAACTTTGGGTAAGCCATGCTAGCGCTTCAATTGGACACTCTCTCCTCACATGCATATTTCTTTCTTGTACAGCTACAAGCTGAGCGGCAAGGCGGCCATTAAGTCCAAAAATGTCTGCCTCAGCCTCGTGGATCAGCACTGTAATCTCAGCCAGCGTGGCATTGTGCAGCTATTCACGCAGGCCCATCCGCCGCGTCGGTATGTGTCGCCCTGGTTCAACAAGACGGCGCCGCGCATGTCCCAGCTCTATGGCAACAACATTAGCCACACCAACAGGCGCCTGGCCAGAAGCAGCGATAACCTGCACGCAGCCTCCAACAGCAAGAGCAGCGGCTCCATGGAGAGCAGTTCACCGCGCATGTCGCTGCGCCCGAGCGATGAGCCATCGGGCTCCGGCTCCAACTTCTACAATATGACCAATTTCATTGAGCTGCCGGAGCAATATAATCCGGCACTGCTGCTGCAGCAGCTGGAGACGCTGGAGACCTTCTATGCGCGCACCTTCCCACAGCAGCGCGCCCCGGCCAATCCAGAGGAGAAGATGATAAGCAGCGACTTGCTGTTCGAGCACAATTCGGCGGAGCATTCGTTCACGAATCAACTGTTCGCCTTCGATGGCGCAATTGAGACCAATTCCAAGAATTTGCTGGTGCCGCCGGCGCGAAGCCAACAGAGTCTGCAGCAGCTGCTGAGCGATTGCCGGACGCGAGAGCTGCAGGTGCTGGGCTGCCTCATTGTGGAGCTGTTTGCCATGCAGCGTCTGCGACCGCTGCTGACCAGCAACGGGCCGAGTGCGAGCTTCGAGTGCCGGCTGGCGGCGTGCCGCACAGTCACCCAGATCCACAGCCAGGAGCTGCCGATGCCGGTGCGTCGCGTGGTGCGTCAACTGCTGCAGCTGGAGCGCAACGAAGAAGATCCCATGCCGGGTCTACCCGTGCCGACGAGTGCGGCCCAGCTGCTGGAGCCGATGTTCAGCCTGGCGCTGCTGCCCTTTCCCAGTCACTACATTGCGGTCTATGCGTTTGTGCGCTCCCTGCACGCCTTCCAGCTCAACTTCGAGCTGCTCGACCTGCTCACACATCTCAACTGCAGCGGCGGCAGTGAGTGTGCCCGCTACACCGAGCTGGACCGGCAGCGGGTGCTCTTCGAGCGCAAGATAGCCGAGTGCAAGGTGATGTCCTCCTGTGCCCATGTGCGCCGCCTGCTGGAACCTCTCTCGTATGCCTACGAGCAGTTTGCACCCGTGGAGCTGCTGCTGCCCCACATCATAGATCTGCTGCGGGACGAGCGCACATCGATACTGACGGCCTGGAATCTCTTCGATCCCGTGGCGCAGGCCTTAGGCATTGCGCAGACGCAGCAGCATTTGCTGCAGCCCCTGCTGAAGCTGTACGACGTGGAGAGCAGCGCCCTGGTGGACGAGGCCAACAGCAGCACAAGCAGCAGCAACAACAATGGGGGACACTTGCGCTTCTCCTCGAGCAGCTCGTTCAAGTCTAGGAAATCTGTGAAGCTCTATCACCACAGCTTCCTGCTGCGCCTGATCGTGCGCTTCGGACTGCGCTGCTTTCTGCAGCACTTCATTGCACCACTTATCGAAGCCGTCGGTGGCTACAAGGAGCCGGAGCAGGGCAATGGCTATCACTACCATAGCGCGGGCAGTCGGCGCACCAGCAAGAATCTCAGCTATGCCGCCGAGGAGCTGCCAGTCGTACAGGCGGAGCCTAAGCCAGACGTTGAAGAGCTCTTCACATTCGAGGAGGATCAGGAGAACAAATCAATTGATTCCTTCGATATGCGTCCCTCGTCCACGGCCATTGCGGAGGAGGCACGCGAATCCGACGGCAGCTCACCCGACAAGCTGGCCATCAATGAGCTCATGTACGGCGCCAAGCTCTCGCCGGACAAGCTCTCACTGCAGAGCCAAGGACAGACGCCGCCAGCTGCATTGCCCCCGCCCTTGATTGGACCCCGCTCGCCCACCATCGAGATACCCGCGAGCAGCTTGCGACGCAGCTTCCAGCTGAGCGCCATCGATTGCGATATCGGCTCCAGGAAGAGCGTCGATAGCTTCGAGCTGATCAGCCAGGTCACCAGCACAGCGGCCAATGAGTCGGCGGAGTCGGTGCCCCAGACAGACCCCGAGGCCTCTGACTCACTGCAGGCGTCGGTCATATCGCGCATCTCAGAGGCCAAGGCCCTGCAGAACAATCGCATTAGCGAGATGAGCGCGGAGAGTCTCGTCTGGCTATCGCATCGCCTGGGTCCGGTGCTGACGGCTCGCCACATTACGCGCAATCTGCTGAAGCTGCTCTCCCTCTGCTACGTCGGCCAGGAGAATCTGCTGCCCGAGATGGAGGCAGCCAGCAGCAGCAGCAGCCCAACAGAATCATCAACAGATGCCGCCTCCAATCTCAATTACTTCAGCATTGCCAATGCCCGGGTCGTCGGCGATCGCAGCGCGGCGCGAGTTCTGGAGTGCCTCATGTCGATAGCGGGTAAGTCTGTGTGCATAATGATAATGATGATATCATCATCTATTGACAATAATATTCCGACATATTTATTTGTTAATCAATTTACTGGGCTTTAATTGAAGTTATTTCCCGGAAATTTCACACTTGCTTGACTCAGGGCTTAGTTACCCGCTTAAGTTCTAGTAGCTAGGCACATTGGACGTAGAGCAAGTCAGCTTTCAGTTGAATAATATTGTTTCCATGACTATGACTTTTTATTTATGTACAGTGGTTCGCAACCGGGAAAAGGAAATCTAAATTAAGAGAAGTATAATTCAACATTATACCTTGATTTCTCAGGGCTTAGGGCAAAATAACTTCTGATACTTACGTGATGACAAATGACAGTAGCAATCTCTCGAGTTTGCAAAATATTTTTAAAAATTTAATAATGATAAAAATAAACAGTGAACCACTGTAGAACGCCGACTTACCAATCGATGGTTCATATGATAAAGTTATTTACTTTACTTTAAATTTATAGAGCCTACTAAACTCTTTTTACTTAGAGGGATGTATACATAGGCATACATGTACTAATTTTCGAGGGAAGTTTAGTTAGCATGCCCTAAGAGGTTTTCTCACGTCGACTTCTTCAAATTGAAAGCCTGAAAACATTGGTGAAATATGCCCATATATACATATGTATATACTCCCTCAACACGTTCAACTTTTCCTGAAACTATTTTAATTTTCCAGCACTCTATGGGGAGAACTTCCTGCTGCTGCAGTACTTTCCACACATCAGCGAGCTGATTGGGCTCTGCTCGAAGCGCATGACGGGCAGCCTGGAGGGCGCCATCATTAGCTCGCTGCAGCTGGTGAAGTACATGCTGCCCTGCCTGATGGATGCCAGCATTATGGAGCACCTGCAGCACATACTGCTGGATGCCATCCTGCTGCCCATACTGCGCCTGCTGAGCTCCACGAATCTGCTCATGCCCAGCGGCTATCTGGGCAGGTCGGTGCTGGCGCGCAAATTCCTGGACGCTTGCTATGCGCTGAGCGTGCGAATCGGATCGGATATGACGCGGGAGCATCTGTGCCAGTCGCTCTTTGCGCCCTTCTTTCTAATCTTCAATAAGGCCTTCGGGCTGCCCAATGACTTTAGCTGCAATCTGGCAAATCTCTCGCTGAGCGGCGGTCCGGGGCAGCAAAAGCGAGCGCAGGAGGAGCTAAGGGACGTGTTCGGGCCGGAGCTGGCGCATACCGCCTACTTGGCGCTGCTGCGCTTCCTGGGCGAGTCCATAATGAAGCGCACGCTGAGCAACATGGAGTTTGTGCTCACGCTGTGCCACGAGCACGAGCAGCCAGCCGCTGGCCAGGACACGGCACAGCTTAGCCAGTCGGCCAATCGGATCAGTCCCGTGGATGTCACAGATGCAGCGCCCTGCGAGACGGCGGCGAATAGCTTCGGCACCCAGATCGTCGGCAATCGGCTGCAGGTGCCCAGCAGCAGCATGGAGCTGCTCGATATGGTGGCCTACAAGCTGGACCACATGCCCAGCACACGGCACCTCAAGGGCAACTGGCTGGCCTACTGGCGGCACGAGACGACGCGCAGCGAGAAGGACAACCAGGCGCTGAATCTCAAGCAAATTCGCCTGCAGTCCTTTGTCGGCCACACGAACTCCGTGCGCGCCATTTACGCGCTGGAGAACGAGAACAGCTTCATATCCGCCTCCAAGGATAAGACGGTCAAACTGTGGTCGCTGCGCAGCGAGGGCGATGGGCGTAAGAGCACCGCCTGCCAGTTTACCTATACGGCGCACAAGAAGTCCATCAATTCGCTCAGTTTTCTGGAGTCCCTGCGCTATGTCGTCTCCTGTGACTCGGGCGTGCATCTGTGGGATCCGTTTATAGGCCGACCTCTGGCCATACTGGATGCGCCGCGGCATAGTGCAGTCACCGTCGTCAAGTGCCTGCCCTCACATTCCCCGCTGGTAGTCGCCGGCACAGCCGAGTCCACGGTGCGGATCATCGATGCTCGCTGCATGCAGTACGTGAATGAGTGGCGCGTCTGTCATGCCGCCTTGCCCAATGCCACTGTGCGCTGCCTGGCGGTGGCTCCGTCGGGCAACTGGCTGGCCGCCGGCCTCTCCTCGGGCGTCATTGTCCAGCTGGACACGCGCACCGGCATCGTGCTCAACAACTGGCGACCCATGGAATGTGATCTGCTGCAGCTCACGGCGCCCAGCGATCAGGTGCTCATCAGCTCGGCGCTGGATCACAGTCTGGCCGTGTGGCATGCCCTGGACGGCATTCTGCACTATCAGTTGAAGTAGGATCAACCTTTCCTCTTTACAGAATTTATTCTAATATAATTCTTTAATCCCTTCCAGACCACCGCCTGAACCGGCCCACTTCCTGCAAAGCGTTGGCTCCTCCCTGGTCTATGCCACAACTGGGAATCGTGTGGGCGTCTACGCGGATGTGGGCAACTCTCATGCCCTGCATACCATTACCAAACTGCGCTCCGAAACGTTTCGGGGCGTGCTCACCTCACTGGCGGTGTTGCCACTTAATCGAGCTTTCCTTGCCGGCAACGAGAGTGGCAACATTGCTTTGCTCTGCTAGCGGAGCTGATATTACTAAATTTAAAGACAATTATATATACCTATATACATACATATATTCACACGCCTATACATATATTAGTTATAGCATTGAATGGCACCAAATATTAGTTTAATACAACTAAGGAAATTATTCAATATACTCATTCGGCACTTTAGAGGTTCATAGTTAAGCTGCATTTAAACAACGGCTAGATGCCCCAATTCGATTCCAGAACAAAATGTGTATTTCAAGTGCTAGACTTAGGTAATCAATATCTATATTGTATTAAGTGGTAAAGTATACATAATAATCTACATGTTTGTAACATGCAAATAAACAAACAAATATTTCAAATTAATGCTTTCATTTGGATTATGCTAAATTCTATTTTAATAGACAAGCGAAAGACACCTGCTCTTTCAACAGTGCACGCTGAACTGACTGTCCAAATGAACACATCTCGAATCCAAGTGCACAATTGTCTATGTGTGTGTGGTCTCAGCATTCATTACCGCTCTTTCTCAACATGATTCGGATAAAGAGAGTGAAGCGTATGTGCATGTGTGTCATCTATTAGAATAAGCTTTAGATTGGGCAACTTAAACTCTCTCCCATGTAAGTGACAAGTAAATTAACAGAGTCCGAAAAGTGAGCAGCATTGTCTATGTGTGCGTGGTTGTAATGTGCGTAAGCTTTGATATCTTCTCTCAGGCTATTAGGAGAATGAGTAAAGTTTAGCCATTCACATATAAACATACATATATACATATGTGCATGTGTGTGTATGTCATCTCTATATTTGCATAAGCTACATACATACATATATATGTACATATTAAAAAGCTTAAATTAACATATGTACATATGAAAATGTATGTATGTATATACATATGTACATATGTACATACTTTAGTTTAAATATTAATTATTGTAAAATCACATTATTAATTGTAAAAGTAAGTATAAATTTGCATTTGTATAATGAACGATATTATTATTATTAGTATTGCATTAGTTACTATACATCTACATACATACATACATATGCATGCAATCAATTGCAACTGTCAGGAGCTAGGCAAGCGATGACATACCCCTGCTGTTCAACTGCCGAATAAGAGCTTTCTGTAAAGAGTTGTTCTTATGATGAACGCAAAGGGAAATTTTCTTGTTTTGTTTTTAACTGCATCAGTATTGCTGCTCCATGACCTTTAAAGGAGTTCGCAAAACCAGAGCGAAACTGAAACATTCAATGGGAGCACAGAACATACAAGAAACATACAATCTTGGTTATTTTATAATGATGTTTTACGTTTTTGTTTTATTTGTAAATTTTTTCTCAATTTCCTCTTCCACATCGCCTTGAGTTCGGCCAATGAACTTGGAGCACTGTTAATCAACGACTTGCGATCTCAAAGGCAACTACTGTGTGTGTACGTGTATGTGTTTGCATACATGTGCATGTGTATGCGTGTGTGTAGGATGAATACTGAGTGAGTATATGGAGACCGCATTGCATTTATTTTTGGGCGACGCCAGGCAAAGTGACTTTCAGCGATGCGACGACATTTCGCTTGGCTTCTTTTTTTGGCAACTTTTTGCATTGGCATTTTCGTTGTTGTTGTTGCTGTGGCTGCTGCTGCTGCTGCTGCTGCTGATTTTATTGTTGTCGCTGTATGCACTTTACGGTAGAGTCTGGGCGACGTATGCGTAAGACATTGATTCTGGGCGCTTGTTACAATGAGGACTTGCAGAGGACAATAGTGCGTCTAACTCCGAAGATGGAGCAGCTGCATACCCTAAACGCATGTCTCTCCCATTGCTGTCCGCCCTGTACCCGTATCGGACTTGATTCACCTTGAATTTAAGGAATCGTCGCTGCCAGCAGCCGTGCGTAAGTAAATGCCCTTGCATTTGATAGCAGCAACAACACAGCAGAATGTGCCGCGAGTTAGCTGATTCACTGGACCAACAGCGGACCAAGGCAACAAGTTGGCTTCGATATGAATTGTTGTTTTTCTGTTGCATGTTGTAAGACGATGTCTGCTAACATGCTGCAAGCGAATGTTGAAGGCAGTTCGTAATGGAACATGTTATAGCTCGAGAGAAAGTGGACCAAAAATAGTGGAGACAAATTATAAGTATATAGAGCAATTTTTCTAATATAAAAGTATCACATATGTATAAAGTGCATACATAGTATGTACATCAATATGTATACTCAAATATACATATATACATACATACATATGTACATGCATGTACTTAGAGCTGTCACGTATTTACGTTTCAAATTTCCCCATTTAAATTAATTTGAATGGGGTAATTTGTAACGTAAGTGCTTCTGCTAACAAAATGTACATAAGTACATTCGTATTCATGCAGTAGTTACATTATATTACCCTAAATTTTAAAGCAAAAAGCACAAACATATGTACATACGTACATATATGTATACATAGGTATGTATATATGCACAATGTATACATATGCATATGTTCATAATAAATCACGAAGCTATTAAAAATAAGTAAATATACGAAATAAACAAATTCAGCGACATCGCCAACGTCAACAACAAAATCCCATTCAAACAACTTGATCACGATTACGCAGTCCCAAAAAAAAAAAATAAAATATATATATGTACATATTTATATGTATCAGTATGTGTACACAGCGCGACACAAAAGTATGTGGGGAATTTGAAATTTCCGAAGAATGGTTTTGCATGAAATTTCACTTACTTGCCCGAACAGGCTAGCAGCGTAAAGCAGACGGCATTGTTATGCTTGGAATGCTTTCGGTATTTTGGCGGGCCGAGTGAAGCGCATAGCGGGCAGAGCGACGGCAGCAGGGTTGCCAGAGCGCGCGCCAGGGCGAATATGTTGTGGCGCGGCGTCCAGCGATCGAATCTGGTAGCCCGACAGCGCTGCCACGAGACCGCAAGAATGTTGAGGTTGTGAGGTTGCCTCCAACAAATAATATGTATGTTCGTTCGTTCAGAGTGCACACACAATACACAACAAAAATGGCCGGCATGTGGCGCGCGTCAACAACATGTTGTGTTTACATACACAGAGGCAGCCAGCAAGCAGCCTTAACATGCGCGCTGCAGGTGCGAGCGGTTGGGCAACAGCGGCGTTGCCAGAGTCACAGCAGCAGCACTTGCGGCGAGAGACACCGAGGCTCGAGCACTCAAAATGACAATGTTACCAACATACAAGCGAAAAATATCAGCAGGCGCCCAGCAATGGCCAGCTGGCAAATGTCCGGGACCGCATGCAAACAGTGTGGCCCTCGCGCTCATATTTATAAATTCATGACAGTTTATGCCATCAATTTTATAACTCACACCCGGTGCCGGGGGCGGCGAGTCAATAAATTCTCAGAGGCCGACTACGTATTTTATAGTCGCGCATTGCAGATCTGACATAATAACTAAGAGGCGCGCAGAATGTGTAGCTGCTGGTCTGTTAGCTACATAGACATTCGAACTCGACGCCGCTGTTACCTACCATTACTAAAACTCAAGCGGGCTGGGTGGGGCCAGGCGGCGGGGCAGGTCTCTCTCTCACTCTGTACAATTAGCAGCTGAACGCGTTCAACGCTGTTGAAACGCCATCGAACAACGACGCGTCGTCTGCGTGCGTCTACGTCTGCGGCCTTTGTGGGCGTTGCTGCATTCTATAAAATCGAATTTTTAACGTTCAAATGCTAACAGAGTCACAGAACTGGGCGCAGCGAGCGATGCCATTTGGCAGCCTATCGATTTTCATCATGTTAATTTTCGCGCGCTCGTTGCCTGCTAGTTAACAGGCGCCCACCCCATGAATTGGCATTACATATTAGGATTGCCAAAATAATAGCAAGACGATTAATGGGCCACAAATTTGTTGTGTTGCGGAGAGATAGAGCGAGACAGTGAGTGAGAGAGAGAGAGTGTGCGGTAGAGTGAGAGTCGGGCGAGTGTAATAGGCTAAAGTGAGTTGCTCGATTGTGAAAGTGACGAGCGCAAGCGAGAGAGCTGCAAATAACACAGCATGAATGCCCTGTTGCGAACAGGCATGCGCAGACAAGCGTATAACTTCTACGATATATAGCATTTCGGACGAGTTATTTGAAGTGAACAACCATTTGATGACCGTGCATGGACACTCTCCTACCCGCCCCTGGAACAACAGTCCAATCAACGCAGCCAACTACCACCGCAGCAAATTGGCAACTGGCAACGAGCAACAGCTCGCCGTCGCTGTGCGTCGATGCAGTGGTGCGAGTGAGATAACAGCTGTGCCTGACTGTGTCGGCTGTGCGACGCTTCTGAGTGGGCAATTTGAAATCGTTTTAATTTCGAAAAAGAAACTGCAACCCGCCCGTAAATAGCGCCGCCGCATACAGGCAAATGCTGTGCGCCTGTTCGCAAACGATTAAATTCAGTTTAATCATCCACTAAACAGCTACGAGATACCGTTTCGTTCGTTATTATTATTATTACATGCAACAAGTCGTCGTCGTCGTCGCCTGTCGCCCGATTCTCCCTGCCTCTCTCCCACACTCACAAACTCTACGACGCACAAACAATGTAAGCGGGAAACGACCGCTAAGTGGTGTCGAATCGCATGAGAAGCGGCCCATTAGAGAGCCAGAGCGTAATTGTGTGTGTTTCTTATACTCGAAACGGGGAAGTGCTTTCAATTGAGTGCGCAAATTGGATTATCCGTTCGACAATGAGGAGCACAGAGCATGGAGCACAAGCAGCAGCACATCAAACGAATGCTGCCCAGGCCCCAGCCACAGCAGAAACATCTCTAATCCCATAAACAGAAAGAAACAAGCAGACACACACACAAACACTGGCGCACTCATGCTCTACACACGTTTGTCTACACGATATATTCATCTCTGTCGCACCTGTTGCGAGACTTCTAACATAATTTCTATTGAGTTTTCATTGAAAATCTAATCGTGCTGTGTGGAGAGCATGCTGCTAAATCTCATGCAGACCTAGTAAAAATGTTTGTTGTTTCTTAAAGAGCAAGAAGAAGCCCGGCCGAGCATGAGAACTGTGTGTGTGTGCTAGTGTATGAGTGTGTGGGGAGTGTATGTTGCTCGCTTGTGCTCGGGTGCGAGTTCGGGTTGGCTGTCGTCGGCTCGGTCTATTTGGCAATGTTGCTGGCACGCTGCGGTATGAGTTCGCTGTCTCTCGCTCTCACTCATAGCGCAGGCAGCTGGCAATAGGCATTTGGCAGTCGCGAGTTAGGCACACAGATACGCACCTATACAGGCGCACGACAATCGTTCGTCGGTGCGATGCGCTTTCTCAGGCAATCACGCGTTCAGACAGTTGGGCAGTAAGGCAGTCGTCAGGCAATCAGCCAATCAGGCTTTCAACTGAGTGTAGAAATGTTGTAAACGTGTGCTGTTTTTTCTGTTCGCCTGTTAGCGTGTGGAACATTCGGTGAATTGAAACGCCGCTGTTGGCCACGCGGATTGGTTGGATGTGCGCAAGCAACAAAGAAGCGCAACTTTTTCAACTTCATCGGACGCTGGTGCTGCGACTGCTTGGGGCCCCAGGCAGCAGCAACAGCAGCGTTTGCAGCTGGCGCAGTCGCGATATTCGCGTCGAATGAGAAATGAGAAATGTTCAATTGCCTGTTCGAGTGTTGGTGGTGGTTGGAACGCCGCTGTCCATTCATTGGACACGGGCAAGCGGCCATGGGCAATTACGCCAACGACTACGACTACGGAACCTGAGCAATTTACCTGCTCAGACATAGCTCTTGGCACTATCTATACGAAAAGTATGCACACCTGATGGCGGTTTCTTTTTGAATGCCAACTTTTTTTGGTTTTGTATTTTTGGAACTCTTAGTAGTTCATTGCTTGATCCTATATACCTAGTTATGTCTCATCTATGCATGTATATCTGTTCCATGTCCGCTTAGTTCTGCACGCTCATCGCCAACGTATCGCCACTCACACTGGCCACGCTCTCCTGTGCACCCGTTGGTCCGGAGCTGACATGCTTTTCCCGTATGCCCAGCCAAGGCAGACGACGTTCCAGCTCCAGTCGATACTTGGGATGGCTGGTCGCATAAACCCATGGATCCAGGCACGAGACCGACTTGCAGGCCAACATGGGCAGCATGGAGATAAACGGAGTTATCAGCTGCTGCTCGCCAAAGCAGCCAATCAGGGCCACCACCGAGTAGGGCGTCCAGGCCAGCACGAAGAGCATATAGATGATTAGAGCCGCCTTTGCAATCCGCAACTCGACGCTCATGGAATCATTGTTGACATTTGCCGACAGAGATTTCACATTCATCTTTTTGGCCTGGTCGGCCAGCATGCGCTCGTGGGTGCGCACATGGGTGAAGAGCTTGTAGTAGGAGATGAGTATCATGGTCATCGGTATGGCATACGCCCACACGAATATGGTGCGCACAAACAGGCGGGTCTCATCCGTATTGGTCAGGTAGTCAAAGGTGCACGTAGTGAGGAAGCCCTCTGAAAACATAGCTGTCTTATTACACCAAACGAAAGGGATGAGAAATTTCATGATCTTCTCACCTGGCAGATAGCGACCCCAGATCTGAAAGAGTGGCAGCACCGAGAAGGGCGTTGCCCACATCCAGGTGAAAATAATACACAATATTATCTGGCCGTAGCTCAAGCGTCCATCAATGGGATTCGAAATGGTCTTATAGCGATCAAAGGCTATAAAAGCATTCGTGATCGAAGCGCCCATGCCCGAGATGCCGCCACATAGTGCATAGATCTCACAGCCCAAATCCCCGCCAGCAATGTAGCCCAGTGCAGCATTGACCAGATAGTGCGGCATATTGGTGCACATGAACAGATCGAAGATGGCCAGATTGAGGATTAACAAATTGGAAGGTGTACGCAGAGATTTCGAGCTGGAAATTAAGGTAATCTATGAAGTTTATATATACTAAATATCGGTAGATATATAGTCTCGCTTACGTTGAGAATATCCAGATGACCAGACCATTGCCAAAGAGATTGAGAAACATGAGCACACAGAAGCCTATGTAGATGCCAGCGCGATAGTAGATCGGGGGCTCTCGAAAGCCTCGCCAATGGGCGTGCACCATGTGCTGATATTCCGCTGGATAATCGTGGCCCAAGGGCAGAACAGCGCCACCTGCATCACCGGAGCTGTCGTTCAGGTAGCTCGCATAGGGCTGGGGCCCCGTCAACTCGTCCTGGCTAAGATACATTCTGGCTGGCTAGATCAAACTTGTGGTAGTTGCGACTGCTGGGAATTGAGCCACATGCTCGCCGTGGATGTCTCGCCTCTTGGCTGACCCCTGACATATTGGGCGATGGCCATTTTATAGTGCTCCTTGGTGGAGGGCATGGAATTTAATTAAGGCGGATTAAAAGCCACACGGCACACTTAGCCCCAGATTAGACGGGATTAGTTGCCGTCTTAAGACATTTTTGTGCGGCTTTAGTTGAATTATCAACGCGACGCGACGCGACGCGACGCAACTCGACAAACAAACTAAATTATATTCAAATTCAAATTCCAACGGCTGCACTGCGGCGGCAACGGCTGGTTCGTTCCGTTCACACTCGCTCTCGCTCGCTCTCTCTCGTCTAAATCGTAAATTGTCGCAGAACTTTTGTGCGAAATATGACACTAAGTAACAGGTGCGCAGCACGCGTCAGCCGCTCGCTGTCCGACGTCTCTGAGCAGAGCGGCGAGCACGTGTCGTGCCCTGCCTGCCTGCCTGCCTGTCGTCGTCGTCGTCGTTGTCGCATTTCCGCGGTCTTTTGCGTGCGTTCGACCTGTTTCTTCCAAACGCAAAAATGCGCACCGGCGCACAGCATCGTGCCAGTGGCTGCAGGCGCGAGCGAGACAACGCTTGTATTACACACACCACTCAGCGCACGCCACACACTCGTTGTCTCGCTCACACTGCTGGCGCTGCACATTAGTCGCTGGGCGCCTGGTTGGTTCGGCGCTGTCATTTCACAATGACCCACCTTCACGACGAAGTGTTGACGACTGACAGCACTGTTATTGTGTGACTGAGTGTGTGTGTGTGTATGTGCATGTGTTGTTTGTACAACAAACGTGTATTGCAGCAACAAAAAACAAGAACAGCAACATTTTCATTAGGCGGCCAGAAAACAACGTACACATGACACACAACAGCCTCGGCTAAAGAATAATTTGCTTATTTGTTTGTGTTTGCGTATTGGCAGATACGTGTTGTATTATTATTGTTATTGTTTCTGTTGTTGTTGTTGTTTCTGCTTTATATATCCGCCAACGAATGAGTCTCTTTGTATGCGCCCTACAACGCAGCTACGAGATATTACGGTACAACTCTCATCAGAACATGGGTGTATGTGTAAGTGTGTGTGTTTGTGTGGAGAACTCTTCTACTCGCCGTGCACTCTATATAAGAGCCTTCTTATACTCGTATGCTTAAGTGCTAGTTCCGATTGGTGGCCTAGCTGAATCAATTGTTTAGCCTGTCTCAAAGCTCTGTCTGACTGTATTAGAGCGCACTCATATGCCGTGCGTACCGCACAACGCGTCAAGAACCCACACAAGGCTAAGCGAGTCGTTCTCGTTCTCGTTTGGCCGAGTTGGGTTGAGTGTGCGCTCGCCTTGACCGTAATTTGAGGCCGTTCCCATTGCCAAGTGAAGGACGCACCTTGAAACTCAAGGATTTTGCGCGACTTGCGAAATTTCGCAAACATTTTCGGCTGTCAGTGGGTCAAAGCGAAATTTCGCAAATGCTGTGGATTTGTTTGGCCTGAGTTTTGGCTGCTCAATGACGATGACATAAGCAGCTGATATAATATTTCGAGTGGCATTGAAACTCATGGAACAAGTTTTCGTGCGAGTTGTGTTGCTGACGCTGGGGCAGAGCAGGGCAAGGCAGGGCAGGAGAGGGGTCTCCACGATTCACTCGATGCGTGGCAGCCAATTCAAATGAACTCTCTTGGTTTGTTTTTGGGGGGCAACCAACGCATTTTGGCTGCCGCAGACACTTGCTCTGCATTTTGGGCGCCTCATAGCACAGGTTGTGATTTGAGCTTTTTTGGAAGCTAAGGTTAAGGTTACTCTCGCCAAATGTAATGCCGCCCCAACGGTAACTAACCACACCCAACACGTGAGGCGGCAAATTGCTGTAGTTGCCGCAAAAAAAAGTGACGTATCAACGCTTGCGCTTATATATAAACATATATATATTATATATTTATATAAATATATGTATATATATAATATGCCTGTCCGTCCCGTTTTAATTGTGCGGTCAGTCAGGCCCCAAAATCCAGTTTGGGGAACAGGCGCACACAACCCAGCAACAAGTAGCGTCATGGCCCCAATGCCAATGGCAGCAGCGACGCAGCAGAAGCAGCGTAAATCGTAACTGCGAGCAGCTCCAATGGACGCGGACATTGGACGTCTGTTTATTGAGGGGCGGGCGTGTTGATTATCGATGATTAAGATGGGGTAAACAAAGGGCCTACATACTCACATACATATATACATGTTCATATATTTAGATGCATGTAGGGAAGCAACTCTAGAATCTCTCAATCACAGACAATCAATTTTAAATAATTATAAAATATTTAATAGCATTACATTTTTTGTTTAATTATTTATAGTATTAAATATGGTTTAATAACTTATAAAAAAGGTACCTGCAAATAAAATATATCAAAGAATATAAAAAAAATATATATATGTATATAAACTATATGTACATGTATAAACGTATTTACACATGTCGGCACAGGATGCCACATAATTATACGCACATACAAACATATGCATGCATGTGTGTATACATGCGTGCATACTCATATTAACATACATATTTTATGCGCCTGGTAGTTATATTTATTTTATGAATATACGTACATACATATATAAAATTCAAGGCTGACCACACGCTGACCGCCAAACAGAGAAACACTATCAGCAGCGGCAGCTGAGCATTGGAACAGCCCCAACAGCCACGCACATAAAAACTGGTTCTCACTGTTTGCAGCTTCTTCACAGTCACGCATATGCATACATACATAGATACAGAGAGATGTACATGTACTTATGTCAGACAGGCACCGATATACATATGTATGTACGTAACAGTCTGTACTCGTGCATGACTGTGCCTCTGTGTGCGTGTGTGTGAGTCTGTGTATAGTTTGACTTTTATCTTTTATTTTGTTGTGTGGTTGTTGGGGCACGCAACTGTCTGACATGGCGATCTGTAGCTAAGCATGCTGTTTGCCTGTTAGTATGCATGTGGGAAAACGTTGAACGCCCACAATAATAGATGTTTTTTGCTTTGTTTGTTTGTTGTCTGTTAGTTGTAGTTGTTGTTAGTTTAGTTGGCGGCGAATGCGCGACGTAGTTGTAGTCGCCGCTTGCGGCATTTTAACCACCTGCGAGAGCTCTGTTCGCGTTTGCTGCGAGCCTAGCTAAATTTTGTGCAATAAGCAAAATGACGGGCACAAAACAAAATGTCCGGGGCCCCAAAGTGTCGCTTCCGTTGCCGGGGGCCATGATTATAAAGCGCCATTGCAATCAATTTCAATTTCTAGTCAGCCAGCCCATCAGCAACAGCAACAGCAACAGCAACAGCAATAGCGAGACTGTGGCATCTAAAATCGTTCCGTCATAGTTGTAGTTGCGGTCGTGTGTGTGTGTGTGTTTGTGTAGCCGCAATCGCAATTGTTGGCGTCATTTCTGTTGGCCTGTGATGTGAACAAACAAAATGACTACTCAAATTTGCGCAAAATGTTCGTGCGACGTGCTGCAACGGGTGTGTGTGCGTGTCCGTGTGCCCAAAGGGGAGACGAGGAGCTCTGTTGTTTGCGTTAGAATTTCAAACAAACATGTTGCTTTACTTTAATACGTATGGGTGTGTGTGTGTGTGTAAGTGCCTGCAGAGGTTTTTCCTTGTTGTTTTTGTGACGCTTGGCAAGTCGCTGGGGGCATGTCCGGGCGCATTTGGGGGCGTATTCAGCCTGTTTGTCGAATATAATTGTCGAGCTTGGCCAAGGGAAATTTACAATTTGTCAGAGCGCCATCTATGGGGCGTTAGCAAGAGCGGCAAATACTAATGCCGTGCTGTCAGTCAAGCCTCCCAATTATTAACACAAGTGTCTAAATACAGAAACTACACAATCACTTATACATACATACTCATTAACATCTAGTTAAATGCGTGCTATCTACAAAGGGGAACAGCCTCAACGTGAGCTACCTTGTAAAAAATATAAGTGACAGCAGACTTCAATTCAGCACAAAGTGCGAACAATTAGCTTAACTGCCAGTAATAATCGTTTAGAGCGCCCGCTACTTACTTATTATAACAGACACTCACACACACAGAGAGTCGGTAGCAAAAGAGCAAACAGCCAACACTCACTCAGCATGCAAACACACGCACGCACACAAGCAAAGCAACTCAAACACACACACACATACGACCAGTCGCATGGCAATTGAACCAAACCCCTGCCACTGTAACTACTGCCATCTCGTTCGCACACACAACTTGGCCGCACCTTCTCCACCAGTGTTAAATGTGATGAGATATCATCGGGCTATTTTTGCTGGTCGCCTGGTAAAAAAGAGGGAATTCACTTTTGGCGGGGTCTCGTTTTTCCTGCTTTGTCCAATCGGCCTTTTTGTGGGCGCTGTCTAAACTAGTCCAATTGTATCGCGACCGTCACCGCGTCGCAACCCTCGGTCGACCACCACCAGTCAGTCGATGCCAGTTGTTGATAAGGCAGAGCCAGCCAGAAAGCCAGCCAGCCAGCCAGCCAGCCGATGATAACAGTGCTCTGCCCAGGGCCTGGAGAACTCTGTTCTTGCAAATTAATTTGTACGGTAGGCGTGGTTGTTAGGCCTCCGCCCACATAGCACGTGTTGATTACACAAAAATTGCCATTGCGCACAAAGCTCGGAATGGCATGCAGAGCCACATACATACATATACGCAATGGCATGCACTTTTAACATAATTTCAAATTACAGCTCTTAATCGATAATTACGAATAAGCAGAAGCATTTTTTTTTCCAATTTTTTGCACTGCGGGATATTTTTTGCTGTGTTTGCAGTAGCCGTGCCGTGATCAGCATACTAGGCGGAGAAGCTTTAAGACCGGCCAGCGGTACAGCGGCGGCAAATTGAGCAACAAAGTTGGGGAAAGAATCGCCCCACATGTGCTGGCAGGTGTGTGTGCGACCCATGTGCACAGACCGTGCCAGACTTTTCAGACACGTTCGGTTTTCGGTTCGGTTTCTACCAGGCGAACAGCAACGGGCAGCAGTAACACGCGCCAAGCGTCAGAAAGAGTTTTTACATATGCACATTTGATTTTAACAGCGCGCACTTTTTCGTTAACAGAACATATGTTGCTTAGCGATTCATCGATAAGTCGGTCATTGCTTAACATGTATCGATACCCGTGGCAATAAAACAACAACAATCAGCAATCGCGTCGTTAGGTGAAAGTGGGGCTATCAGTAGTGGCGGTTGCGTTATAGCGACTAGTTAATTAAAAGCATATGTAATACGGTGTTGACAGGGTGAAAGTTCACAGATAGTCGACAATGTCCGCAAAGACAGCAGCCAAACCGATCAAAGCGGCCTCCAAAGAGCCGTCATCCTTGACTAAAATCTATCTGTTTGCCTATAATGCCATCCAGGTGGGTGGCTGGAGCTACATCCTGTACCAGTTGATCAACTACTATGTGCTGGAAGGACCCCAGTTCCGGGCTCAAATCACGCTGTGGGACTACACACGTCTCGCCGTCATCATCTTCCAGAATGCTGCCTTTGTGGAGATCCTGAACGCAGTCTTTGGCTTGGTCAAGTCGAATCCGGTGGTCACCACCTTCCAGGTATTCAGCCGCATGATGGTGGTCGTCGGCGTTGTCATGGCCACACCCACGGGCAAGGTCTCGCCCGGTCTGCCCATTGCGCTTTTCGCCTGGTCCATCACTGAGATTATACGCTATGGCTTCTATGCCCTCAACATCATCAAGGTTGTGCCCAAGTTCGTGGTGTTCCTGCGCTACACTACCTTCATTGCCTTGTACCCCATTGGAGTAACTGGTGAGCTGTTGTGCTTCTGGTGGGCACAGCGCTACGCTCGAGAGAACAGTGTCTGGAGCCTGGAGATGCCCAACAAGCTGAATGCTACGTTCTCGTACTATGCGCTCTTATGGATCGTCATGCTCGGCTACATTCCCATATTCCCGCAGCTCTACATGCACATGTTCACGCTGCGTCGCAAGATCTTGGGCGGCGACAGCAAAAAGAAAGCAAACTGAACTTTAACCTTCGCTTGGAACTGGCCCAAGCTGCCATAACAATGCTAATTAAATACTAACTTTTGCACTTTGGAGTGCGACTCACCTTGGCTCACCTGACATCGACGCGTCGTGCGAGCTTTAGCTAATATTTACAGGGGGTTTTCTGTATACAAATTGAAATTAAACAAAAACATTTTTCATTTACATTCTATTTACGTTGAACATGCAATGCATTTCAATTATTTGCTTGGGTTGGTTGCAACAATATCAATTGTGATGGATGTGGGTAACTAGTGCTGGGACCATTGGATGGTCTTTAGGTCGATGCCCTCCTGTACCATCTCCCAGAGGGGAGACATTTCACGCAGTCGCTCCACGTGCTTGATGCACTTGTTGGCCGTGTAGTCCACCTCCTCGACGGTGGTGAAGCGTCCAATGCCAAAGCGTATGGAGCTGTGCGCCAGATCCTCATCGGTGCCAATGGCGCGCAGTACATACGACGGTTCCAGCGAGGCTGAGGTGCAGGCCGAGCCGCTGCTCAGCGCCACATCCTTGAGGGCCATTAGCAACGATTCACCCTCGACGTAGGCGAAGGACAGGTTGAGGCAACCGCTGTAGGTGTGCACCGGATCGCCGTTGCGTATCACATGCGGTAGAGCGTTCGTTATGGTGTCCAGCAGGCGCTTCGAGAGATAGTCGATCCACTTCTTGTCGTACTCCATCTCCTGCAATGCCAGTTCAGCCGCAGCGCCCAGACCCACGGCCAAGGGAGCGGGCACGGTGCCACTGCGCAAGCCCCTCTCCTGACCACCTCCACTCTGAATGGGCTCGAGACGCACACGCGGCCGGCGTCGCACATATAAGGCACCGACGCCCTTGGGCCCATAGATCTTATGGCCCGATATCGACATCAGATCAATGTTCATGGCATTCACATCGATGGGTATTTTGCCCACAGCTTGCGCCGCGTCCGTGTGAAAGAATACTTTGCGTGAGCGACATAGCTTGCCGATCTCCTGAATGGGTTGCTTCACTCCGATCTCGTTATTGACCGTCATAATGGAAACGAGTGATGTGTCCGGCGTCATTGCCTCCTCCAGCTGCTTCAGCTCAACGATGCCATTGGCCTGCACAGGTAAATAGGTGACCCGGTAGCCCTCGTTTTCCAGTGCTCGGCACGAGTCCAGCACGCACTTGTGCTCCGTCTGGGTGGTGATCACATGTTTTTTGTTGGTTCCATAGAATCGAGCTACGCCCTTAACTGCTATGTTATTCGATTCGGTGGCGCCTGATGTGAAAATAATCTCCTTGGGATCGGCGCCAATTAGTTTGGCCACCTGTTCGCGTGCCACTTCCACAGCCTGCTCTGACTCCCATCCATAGGCATGTGTGCGCGAATGTGGATTACCAAAGCAATTGGTCAAATAGGGAAGCATTGCGTCTAGGACGCGCGGATCCATTGGCGTTGTGGCCTGTGCATCCAAATATAAGGGCCGCCCTTCTGTTTGCTCGTTCTTAATATTGAAACGTACCTGGCGCTCACGAAATTCTAACATGACAATACGTAAATTGTTGTCTTTAAATAAGATAACTTAGATTTTTACCTTTTGATGTGGCCGCTGGCTTTGCCGCCGCTGCACCTGTCGAGCTCTGGCGCAGAGCGAACGCCATCGATGTGATGTTTGGACGTAGGACGTGAGCCTGCAATCGGCTCAACATTTTCTGCATGTTTGTACTGCACGTGTGCCTGTGTGTTTGCTTTTTACAATTTATTTACTTCTATTATTTCACAATCTAATCAGAAGCAGCCGAATGAGTGTGAGTTTTGCAGCACTGGCCTGTCAATCAATGTTATGCAGGCAGCGTTGCCAGACAGCTTAAATTGTTGGCGCCCAAATGAGTTATTTGAAAGTTTTATTTTAATTTACTCACTTTACAATACAAAATTAAACACTTGTTGTTGATTGTGCTGTTTTAATTAATTGGACCAATTTAATACTTTCACGTTAGTTAAAATTGTTATAATTTCATGTTGTATATACATAAAAGCATAAAATATATATTGCAAAAATAGAAATATGTATACATATTTAAATGGTATGCTGTGGTGTATAATTCTTCCTCCTCTTCCTTGCTCTAATTGCATTTATATAAAGGTGTATATATATATCATATAATATGTATATGCCTATTGCTTGTAATTAGAATAAATTTTTACATTTGAACACTTAATTTGTCTGTTTTGTCAGCTAGCAACGATTTTTGATTACAATTTTAAACTTATTAACTAAATAGATTAACGAGTGATTTCAGCTTTTTGTTTTGTTTTGTTTCTGTTCAAAAGTGCGACTTTGTTCGTACGAAATTGGTTAAAAATACACATATAGACTAACACAATATTGATAATTTAACAGCAAATAATGGGCTTCATAAAAAACATAATTCAAACTGGTGAAATAAATAAACGTCAACAAATCCAATAACCATTGCGTATTGCGTAACTGCCTGCCTGTTGTCAAAGCAATTGCTCCGTGACCAGCACAACGCTCTGCTCCAGCGCCACTGCCGCCAGCTCCTTTAGCCACTCGTCCAGCAGAACGGCACACAGGGCCAAGTCACGTGAACGCTCCGTACCGCTGGTATTGGCTATGATGCCCATGGAGGCCACCGAATCGAGCGACACTGGCTCCGAGTTAAAGTTTCCAGTTTGCAGGCCGCTCTCCACGCCGTGCAGCGTGCTCGACGAGTGTGTCCCGGATAAGGTTTGCGTGGAGCCGCCCATCGAACTGTTGCTGCTGCTGCCCACATTCGTCTGTGGCTCCTGTCGCGGTGCTGTACTCAGGCTCGTCTCACATGTGTTGCCCCGTGCGCTATCCTGGGCAGCACCACGTGCACCACTTGTCTCGCCACCATTGCCACCCACCAGCGTGGATGCTGCGCCTGTAATGTACCAAATTGGATTAGATACTTCGCCCATGGCAGCTGCAGTCGATGGGTTAACGAGAACTGAACTGGTAAACGTAGGTTATTTAAGTGGATACAGTTAGAGCAATATATGTACAAAGCTACAGGAGGCGTCTAAATACACTCAACAGCTTCAATGCAATAATGAAGTTTTTTAGTCGGGTTGTATTACGGGTTGTTATATATCAGTAAATATCATATTAATTTTTATAAATATATATATTCATAGAACTTTTACTTAAGCGTGAAATATTTACCGGTGAAGAATGCGTAAATTTGTGATAAGCCAGATGAAGCTAAGTAGTAGTATTTCGTAGTAGAATAATTTTTGTTTGTTTTTCATATCGATCAAAAACAAGTAAACAATAAAGAAAAAGAGAGACAATTTCATTATAAGCAACGACGTCTGCAGACATTGTACAAAAACTACGTTAAATGTGTTTGTTGTGTGCTGCATTAACTGCGATTCCAATGGCCAACCCATTCACGTCACTCATACTATGACAGTTCTCATTAAATACATTTAAGCATTAACTTTTAATGATATTAAATAAGCATGCGGGCATACAGCGCGTAGCACGTAGCCTTTTATCTCTGAAGCACGCCAAATTCAAAGAGTAATATCACATGGCAACAATATAAAACTACATTAATTACGATAGTTTATGACTGTCTCTAAATTTAGTTAGTGTTGCTTATTTAGAATAAAGTAATTTGAGCTTAAACTGATCAGATTAGCAAAATGAGAAATTCTAGAAATATTATACGAGCATTATTATTATTATTTTTTTTTTTGCTTGCCTTATCTTTGAAGCATGACACCATTAATGAGTAATAATATATTATAACAAATCAAATAAAATATTTTGTCATAATGTTCATTGTTTATCAACTTAAGTTTGTTGCTTAATAAATCTGTTTAAAATGTAAACTTTTATGTTACGACAGCAATTTAAAACTACATAAATAATTGGTCTAACCTCTGATAGCTTATCAAATTAGTTAGTGTTGCTAATTTATAAACAACAAATTTGAGCTTAAGCTGGTCAGTTTAAGTTTGGGAAACTTGATGGTCTAGAAATATGTTACAAGCATTTTATATAGCTTAAGAACTAAAGACATTTAAAGCAACTAAAAGATATGAACATTTATATTATGAATACTGATTATTTATATATATGATAATTTATAATAATTCTTCTTCCGCATTCATAATATAAATTGCCATGTATGAATATGTTTTACAAATTCTAGTGAAATAAAGCGAACTTGATTATTTGGCCATAGGAATCGAGTCAATTATAAAATGTTTCTCTCTATGTGTGTGTGTGTGTGTGTGTGTGTCTATGTGTGCATTTAATGGCTAAGATCCCATAACCGGCTTTGTTCCAACATCCGCTGCTGTGTTTTGTTTACTTGTGAATTCGTTTATTGTTGTTTTTTGTTTAATAAAAAGTAAATTGTGCAAAATAGTTAGAAAAGTCGTGTAGCACAGCATCACGTACCTGAGTTTCCATTTGACGCCGGCGTGGACGATGTTGATCTGCGGCTAAACATGCTCGTTATGGACCTGCTGATGCTGCGCCGCTTGTTGTCGCTGCGTTTGAACGGATCATAGGCACTGGTGGGCGATGCCTGTACGGGCGTTGCTGCCGACAGCGTTGCATAGGTGGAACGCTGTTGCGCCTGTTGCTGCTGCTGCTGCGTGTGGCTGTTGGTTTGCGCCAGCTGCTGATGCTGCTGGTGGTGTTGATGTTGGTGCTGGAGCTGGTGATGTAGAGGTGAATTGTCACTGATCTTGCGCGCATTGACCAAACGGAACTCGCGATCGATCAGGTACGAGCGCGCCACATCGATAATCTCCAGCGAGTTCTCGGCGACCGGCAGCTCAGCATCGATTTGCTGCTTGAGCATGCGCAGCACCTGATGGAACGACGGCGTGTCCGAGGTGATGGCAATGTCGGAGCGCAGCAACAGCGAGTGGATGAGCGGCAGTGGATACCAAGCGAGTCGTGTGATTAGCCCAGTTAAATGCAGGTTCACGTACAGCGAGTTGCTCGTAAAGGTTTGCAGTTTGCCCCAAATGGCATTCAGAAAGGGACCTGCCCAAGTGGTGGAGGGAGAACTTATATCAATATGTGCTCTATCAATAGTATATCATCTCGTTACTCACCTAAGCTTACGGTGCCCTGCGCAAACAAATCCTCCGAGAAATCCAGGTCGGTGAGCAATATCTCGTTGCGACTGCTGTGAGATATGCGCCAAGAGTCGCGCCGCCCACTGCTGATGCTGCTGCTATTGTTGTTGTTGTGCTCCAGATCCGCATCGCTGGCTGATGCTGTTGTTGTTGCGGTGACATCGATGCCCTCGGCATCCTCATCAGCAGGCCGCCACTTGAAGGACTCGTAGCCACTGGATTCGCCTATCGATTGCAAGCTATCCAGCTGCTTCTCACCCGTTTCGCTGGCAACAGGCGCCGCAACCACCGGAGCTGCTGTGCCGAATTCGCTGAAGAACTGCCTGGCCAGCTCCAGAGCATGGGCCGTAGCCCGTGCCTGACCCTGCCTGGGCCACTTTTGATATCGATAGCTGTTCGCCCACTTTCTGCAGTCGCGCTGACACTGAGCGATCCGCGAGTGTGCCTCAAACAGATACGCCTGCACGTTGGCATACAGGCTGTCGCCCGTGTAGTGGCCATAGTAGTTCCAGTTGGCTCCGATCGTCTTGCTCATGACCGGCGAGGGCAAGCTGAGCAGCATGGAAGCTGCTGCTGCCGTTGTCGCTGCGGTTGCTGCTGGGTCAACCAGCTCCTGAACACTCTTTGGTCGCGCCAGATCACGAGCGCGCTTCATCACATCGGGCGTGAGTTCCAAAAAGAACTCGGTTGTGTTCAGATACGGATCGATCTTGTTGATCTTGTGACGATGCGAGATTGGCACATGCTTGCCAGGTAGCATATACTTCAGCAACAGCTCCAACATTAAGTCCTCGCAGTGCAGACCCAACAGCGTATCAAACAGGGCCATCGTAACCATGCACAAATTGGCATCGGGCGAATGTAGCCGCTCCACAAGAGCATCCAAAATTCGTTCACCGTCAAATTTCTCCGTATCCAAGAGAAATTTGACAAAGGCACGCATAAGGCCGGGCTCCGTAATGGAGCGTAATATCAAATCCAGATAGGACATAGCCGAGATTTGTGAGTCGATGTTCGTCTGAAAATGTTTGCCCTTCAGTGTCTGCGAATTGGAGCGCAAAAAGTTGTTTCGAGATTTCGAGGCGAGGTGTTTGTGTTTGGTTAGCTTGGGGTCGGCCCAAAAAGAGAAGAATAGGATAGCACACACAATCTATATACTATGCTTATGTAGCATACATCACGACTGACAATATTATATATTATAAAACGAAGAAATGAATACAAACAGTCTTCTCATTTAGGAACACAAATTTTCTTTTGATTGCGCATAAACGTAGTTATATAGATAGATATATAGGTGGAAAGCAAACACACACTGAGACAGGAGCACCAAGGACAATTGACAAATTTTTGCAACCAACACCACAGAAATGCATCGAAGACAAATTTTTACGTGTGAGAGCACAAAGCAAAAAAATGGACACTCACCTGCAGTATAGCCGGGCCCAGCACCGGCACTATGAAGCCCTGGTACATAAAGTCGAGCAACTGTTGCTTAATCATCTCGTGGGCCACCTGCACGACAGCATTGCAGAACTCTAGGGCGTTCATGAAGAGCGTCAGCTCGGGTATTTCGGTGACATCGTCGGGCGTGATGCGATGCCAGTCAATGGAGTTGATCTCGATGCTGTTCGGAAGGCGTGAATAGAGTCCACCGAGACCGGTGACAAGCAGCGGGCAAATGGACGAGTATTGTGCTATGTAGTGGCCAATGTTGGAGTTCTTTTGCGACAGAGCCATGCAGAGCAGCAGAGCGTCGCGCGCCTGATGACCCAAGCTGCCCTCCCGATGCACGTATGGTATGAGCAGGGAAAATATTATGAAACTAAGGAGGGAATAAATATTAATAATCGTGAAGCAGAATATACAGCTAGCTATCCTCGACTCACTTGGTTGTCGTTCCACTTTTAGGCGCAGGCAAGCTTCCATTCTGTATTTGCTCCTGCACCTGGGTTTGTGCCGAAAAGAAGAATAGATCGAGCAGGTGGACATTCTGCATGAGGACGACGCACAGCTGGTTCAGCAGTATGACCAAACGTTTCTCCAGGTCAGGCGGAAAGATTTCGCCTTGACTCGAAGCGAGTATCTTGAGCAGCGGCCGCAGAAATGGCTCGTGACACAGCAGCTGGTGGCGCGAGTGGCTCACCAGCAGCTCGTACAGTTTCAGTTGCTCTAGGCGCACAGCGTTTGCATAGCGGCCCGTGGAGCTGGCCCATTCGTACAGCTTGTCCAGCAGATTCTCGCTGAGCAAGTACTCCAGGCAGGGCGCTGCTGGGGGTGCCGCATCGGCCGAGGGTAGCGACACCTTGTTGCAATGATGCAGCTCAACCAGCAGCAGCGTTACCATATAATCTAAATGCGAGACCACGCCCAGTACATCATCGTGCGTGGGCGTGCCCGGATGCTGAATAATTTCGTGCGCCTGTTGCCAGTGCTTACAGAAGCTATCGTAGCAGGCGCGCGGATCACAGTCTGTAGCTGCGTCTATGGGTCGTTGACGCATCGTCGTTGCAGTGCCAGAGCCGCCATTGCCAGAGCTGCCACCGCTGCGCGTCAGACTTTGACGCAATGGACTCGTACGAAGCCAACTCATTATTTTGGGTTCGTTCCGTTCGGCTATCCCGTTGAGCTTTGGCGGCGTTGCTGCGATAAGTGTAGTAGTAATAATTTGGCATGTATTGTTGTTATCTTTCAGTTTGTGCTTTGTCCGAGCTTTGTGTGAGTATTTTCGTTCCCATACATAAATTTACAAATAGATTTTTACAGCTGAAACAGACGAAAGCGTCAAACAGATAAGCTTTACTAATGCATATTCAGCAAGGAATACACCAACAGCAGCAACAGCAACAATTGCAACCAGAATATACACACACAAATATACATACAAACATTTGCATCATACACTCACTCACTCACATACAGACAAATGTATTTATTTGGGCAGGCGAGCGAGCAAGTGGCGTTTGATAGTCACTGAAGCGCTGCAAATTGTTGTTGGCACATTTTGCTTACTACGTTTGCTGATTACCTGCTGAATTTTTGTAATCCACTTCGTCATCGTCTTGGCGTTTCTTGGTGTGCTGAAAAAGATTCTTTCAACCAGGTATTGCCTTTTAGCGCGCGTAACACCACCACAAGCTTTTTTAACTGTCTTTCGTTTTTTGGCACTGGGAAATTATAGCGAAAAGACGACGTCGACGACAGCACGGCCCCGTCCTTGTGCGCGCACTTGACAGGGGTAAAATACGCAATAGTGATTTGTTTGCTGTTCAACAACATGCACCGAACATTGTTTACACATTAATGCCTCATTTTGGTCTAGTTTGGATTGGTTTTACGCGAAATTATTTCATTTTTATAAATATTTACAACAAATAGAAAGTAATGAATGAATTGGTGGTAGTCGAGCGATAGATTTGTGGTGGTCACCCGATTCCGATAACTCAAATCATTGTGAACATTTTGTACAACACTAGACTATAATAATCGGCTTACTTTTTTATTTCAACTCCCCGATAATATACACTTCGCGCCCAGTTAATTAATTCAAATTGATTTATTTCTGCTGAATCGCAATTTATTGATTAATTTTAATAGACATACACTTTATTTAGCATACAAATTACGAAGTTATATTATAAACGCGTTATTACAAAAAGAACAACAGCACACAAAGAAGATATGCAATGAATAGTTTGTATATATATAGATAGACATTAACTGTTTGTTAAGCTCCTTAGATTAACGTTCTTTTGCGGATCATTTTCATTAATGAATGTTCGTGTCAATGCCATTCTTCTTCTTAATGTCTTAAAACCATTAACCAAGTTAGAGTTGCACATTTTAAAAATTCTTTGTATGATTTTGCTAACAAATAACATAGTTAAATAAATTGTCTCTAAATATTTGTAATAATAGGATGTATAAAACGGAAGGGGTCTACAAGAGTGTGTCCAAATGTCAACTCAAACTCACATCGGCAACAGCGACGGACCGACACTGCTAGTTCGTGAGCTGGGCCTCTCTATGGTCATAGTTTGCTGTGGTACTTGGCTATCGGTACTTATGCCCAAACCCGCATAGATTTCCTTCATCACAAACAATATGGTGTCCTCAGAGCCCCTGTAAAATGAAGTAGCAAGTTAGAATCAAGATTTTAGCATTATTTCATCCACTACTCACCAATAGCACACATGGCTACTGAGTGCAAAAATATACTCGTTGATGAACTCCAGAGGCGCCTCCTGCAGCACGTAGTCCACGCGTTTCGAGTCATTCAATTTACCCAGCGGAAAATCAAGCTCAATGAATTCAGGATCTGACGTTGTCGTGGACTCTGAATCGGTACGATTACGCGCATGTGTAGAAGTGGTCGCTGCTGATAATTCATCCGTGTCCTCAGTTTGTTTATTGAATATCTGTGAATTACTCTATAGAATTGGTAAGTAACCAAATCAATTATAAATTCTAATCCACTTGAAACTTACTGAGTTGACTTCCTTTTCCAGCGTCTCTTCGGCCTCCTTTTTGACCCTGGTCACCGTAGCCAAGAAATTGACGCTATCTAAGGTCGTCTTGAACGTATCCATGAATCGTTGCTTTATGTCCGCTCCGACGCGTGTCATTGTCTCCTTCAGCTCAAGGTGCATGCGCTTGCGTCCTTTGTGATGTGGAATCAAGACCGGGCGAATTCCCTTCATATCCGGATTGACTAGCGCCTCGATGCGATACGCAACCGGATCGAAAGGATGGAATATATTGTAGAAGCCCGCACATGTGGGTAGCCGAAAGTCGAGGCCGAGCTTATCGATGCCGCGGATGGTCACAAACATGCCAATGGGTGAGCCCAGAGCAAAGAACTTCTTGGGATGGAAAATTAGCTGCGTGTAGTTGATCACCGGCTGCCCAGTGCCAGCCGGCCCAATGCCCATGGCGTAGCTGACCTGCTTGGGCATCATTGCATCGTTGTTGGGCAGTTGTACGTTTTTCGATTCCGTCCCCTTCTTCTGTGGTAGTTGATCAGGATTCTCCTGTTGAATATTTAGCTTTTATATTATATTGCTTAAGATGTAGTCTTTGGTCTCTGCTATTTGCTCACCTTATTTTCCTCTTCGCTCTCCTTGAGCGGCTCCTGATGACACAGCAGATCAAAGAGTATTAGCGAGCCGAGACTGTGGCCAGCCAGCGAGACTCCGCCATTGAATTCGGGATGTCGCATTCGATACTTTAAATAGGTTTCATTCAAGGCATCGGCCACCGTGTTCATGATCTTCTGACAGTATTTGGGACTGGTATAGAAGAGCACATCTAGCAACGTGTCGTTTGTAAAGTTACGCAATCGTGGTATGGACTCTAGCGTAATGGACCTGAGCTTCTCATCAATGCCAAGCTCCTCAGAGTGCAAATGACCGTGCCATTCAATAGGCAGCACTTCCACGCGTCCCACTAGGCCCATGTCCGTGGAGTTCTTGTAGTGGGACTGCACCAGCTGCTGGGCAATGTATCGGAAATCATCCACTAAAGAAAATGGATTGAGTGAATGAGTTTTCAATTTGAATGAGTTGATTTATTTTTCCACTTACCGACTTCCTCGACATTACGCATCTTCAGATCGCAAGCCGAGCCAATGCCATGTACCATGAACAGCAAGTGATCCACACGCTGAGATTCGCCCTGTTGTATCTTAAAGTCATTCAAGTCCCGTTTCACGACCAGCGGCCGTGACGTGCCTTGCACGCTGCCTCCCCACGAATCGGCGGGCGATGGTGGCATGAAGTGGACAATGACGTTGGGTCCATGCATGGTCACCTGCTCACCATTGGCCAGCGGTATTTTCTTATGCCACTCGTTTGTTTCGGTCGCGTGCCTATACTCCATCTCCAGAGCTTCGGCTGTTTGCTCCTCGTAGGGCACATATTTACCATCGACGCCCTTATAGAACCAGGAGCAGCGACGCACCTCAATGGCCTTGCCCTCCCAATAGACGGGTGTCTTGGTGCGCTCTTTGATGTTGACATCGTAGCGACCGCCCTCGACGGGCACAATGGCTGATGAGTCGGTTTCCTCTGTGGAAAGTAGAAAGAGAATTTTATTGTTATTTTAAGTATAGATCTCTAAAATCAGCGAGAGTTATAGTTTTCATTGAATATGGGAAATTTGTGAATTTTTCTCAGGTTTACTTTAATGCAAAAGAAGGCGTGGCCGACCAAATAGATCATGAGAGCAAGCTGAGTTGATTAAGCCTTGTCTGTCTATCCGTCCATTCGTCTCGATTAATGCTTGAACGAGTCGATCTTATATCCTATAGGAGCTAGAGAACTAGACATTGTATAGATCCGTTTTATGGTGATCGATGAACACTTAAAAATTTAGCTATAGCATTTTATTCCGAAAAACTTTGGGCAACTCCACTTTCCGACTTGTTTAGCCATCGCAATTTAGGGCCTAATTCAACTCTGAATCAAGCTTGCAAGAACTTTTCTTTTTGTCCCCCTAACTTACCGCTATTTAGGCTAGTTTCCAGCAGCGCTGAGTCATAGTGACTAAATGGTGTCCACACGAATTTGCCATCCACATTGCGTTTGTAGAACCAATGCGGCAATACGGGCGTGTAGACCTGTGAATTGAGAGCAATATCAATATCTACATCACGTTCATGTATTACGTATTTCATCTCGACTTGAGACTTACCAAGGCTTCGCCAGTTGGCACCGAGGACGAATTCTTATCGTTGGCCATTCTCAGTTGTTGCAGAAGCTCCTCGGGCAGTTCGCCAAGATGTGATTGCAGTAGATAATCGGACTGGCGATCGGCCTGCTGCTGATTGTTTGTTGGATTGGCGGCTGAGCCCGGTGCTGCTGTGGAGAACTCTGAGCAGGCAGATGAGGGCGGCTCCACAATGTTGGAGACAGACGTTTGGGAGCGCTGCTCGAAGCGTTTGTTTGGCAAGCCGCTGTGCACAATATCGTATTTGAGTTCACCCGGTGCGGCTGGCTGATCCTGCAGCGGTGGATTGTTAAAGAAGTTCTGTATGCGTTGATCCTCTTGCCCCTGTCCGCCGGCGGCAAAATGATCAAAGAAATTGGCCGAATTACAGCCAGTCAACGGCTGTTGCTCTTGCTGTTGCTGGGGTTGTGGCTGAGGTTGTGCAGCTGGCCCTGACGACTCTACGGGGCTACCGAAATAGCCGGAAAATGTGTTCACACTTGAATTTTGATAGATATTTTCGTTTGAATTTTGCGTTTGTTGTGCAGCTTGCTGAGAGTCGCTGATCAGTTGCTCAAATCCAAGTGCCTGAGTGGAATGGGGCGTGGCGGCGTCACCAGCAGGCGGCTCTTGCGCTAGTGCGGGCGGTGCTACGTTATGCAATGGAGGCAACTCCGGAAACTGTCCCGCCTGCTGAGCAGTTCCAAAGAAATTGAAATCGCTGCCGTTCGCTGCCGGCGTAAAGAAGCTAAGCAGAGCCGAAGAAGCGGCCGTTGATGTCGGTGCAGGTTCGGCGGCTTTGCGGAAGGGATTCGCCTGTGAGGCGTTGTCCTGGCTGGCCGCTGTTTGTGGTGGTGGCGGCGGTGGTGCTGCTGCTGCTACTGTTGCAGGTTTAGCTGTCTCTGCTTCCGGCTCAATCGTCTGTGCGGCGAAGAGGGAGTTGCCGTCTGTTTGAGTGCTGGGCTCCACAAAGCCAATGGGCGGTGTCAACGGATCTTGGGGCAGCGGTGTGGTTACTGACTGCGCAAACGGATTAAAGAATGTGGTTGTTGTCTGAGTGGTCAACGCAACGCTCGGTAGATGAGAGACAGAGCCCTGCGGTGCCTGCGCAGGTGGTGCAAACAAATCGCTGGTGCTTAATGGAGGAGCAGCGGTTGTTGGCTGTGGTGCTGCTACTCCTAGAGCCTCCTGAGTTGACCCACCTGTACTTGGTGATGCAAAGAGGCTGTTGGCGTTAAAGATTGGCTGTGGCGCGCTTGTTTCTGGTATAGCTTCCTGATTCTTTGAATCGGGCTCTGCTGCTGTCGTCGCTGCTGGTGGGTAAAGCTCTACGCTCTGACCCGCTTCAGCAGTGCCTGCTGCTGCTGGTACTGGCACATATAATGGAGTTTCTTCACCAGCTTCAGTGGTCGCTGTTCGTATAGGTGGAAAAAAGACTGGCACTGCAGAAAGTTCTTGAAATAAAGCAGTTGGCGGTGTTTTGGGGGTCTCTTGAGTTGGTTCGTCGACCTGGCTAGCGGTTGGCTGATCGGCTGCAACGGTTGGTGGTGCTGGTGCAGTAACCAAAGAAGTTTCCTGCTCTGATTCCTTTTGCTGATTTGTCTGCTGCGGCTCTGGCTTGACATCCAACTGTGGCGTGAACAGAGTTGCTGTCGATCCTTGTGAGAATGTGGGCAAACTCTGTGATGTTGAGAATAGTGGAACTTCCGAAACAGCTGCCGTTGAAGGTGGTGCAAATAGTGTAACCTCCTGACGTTGATTTGACGAACTGCTCTGCTCTGAACTCTGAGTCTGCGGCGTGAAAAAATTGTTGCTAGTGTCCGTGGGAAGTTCTTGCTTTGCTTCAGTCGAGCTGGAATAGAGAGGAACCTCCTGAGCTTTATCGGATGATGCCGGCGCAAAGAGCGAGGCAGCTGGTGCACTTGCTTCGTGCGGCTGATAGAGTCCCGTCGATGTCTGTGGTGTGAAGAGCGATGTTGTTGGCGCAGCTGCAAACTGAGGAACTTCCTGGCTGGGCGCTGGTGCAGCTGATGAAGTTGGTGCTGCAAATAATTCAACTTCTTTTGGCTCTGCTCCACCAAAAGGATTGAAAATAGCAGCGGGCGCTGTGTAGGGCGCAAAGGGCGTGGCTACTAACGCTGTGGGCTGACCAAAGCCGACCGGAGGCTGCGTTGTTTCCTGCGCTGTCAGTGGACTCTTGTAGAGACGCGTACCCTTCTGCAGGCGATACGACGAGTGAGCAGGTCCAGCTGCTGGCGGTGGTGCTGCTGCACCAGTTGGTGGCGGTGCAGCTGCTGCTGCCGCTTGTGGAGGTGCTCCGAAGGCCGCTGGCGGTGCTGCTCCTGTGGATGACTGTGGAGGTGCTGCGAATGCTGCTGGTGGTGGTGCTGCTCCTGCTGTCGCTGGTGGCGGTGCTGCTCCGGCTGCCGCTGGTGACGGTGCTGCTCCTGCTGCCGCTGGTGGCGGTGCTGCTCCTGCTACCGCTGGTGGCGGTGCTGCTCCTGCGGACGTTTGTGACGGTGCTGCAAAGGCCGCTGGCGGTGGTGCTCCTGCTGCCGCTGGTGGTGGTGCTAGTGTTGTTGCTGGTGGTGGAACTGCACTTGCCGTTGGCGGTGGTGCTATTTGTGTCGCTGTCCTTGATTCAGTAGCTCCCACTGATGGTGGTGCTTCTACTCCAGCTTGTGGTGCTGCTGCTGCTCCTACTCCTGCTGCTGGTGGTGCTGCCGCTACTCCCGCTTGTGGCGGTGCCCCAACTGCTGCAGGTGGTGGTGGTGCTGCTGCTGCCGCTGATGGTGGTACCGGCGCGACTGTTTGTGACTGAGAGACAGCGGGCTGCTGTGAGACTGCCCCTGGGTGAGTAAATGCCTGCGGTGCAAATGCTGCAGTTGACTGTACAAGTGTTGCTGGTCCACTAGCCGCTGTTGCAGGCGTAAAGAAATTAGCCGGAGTTGCAGCAACTGCGGAAGGATTGAAGAAACCACCTACAGTGGGTGGTGCTGCGGATGGCGCGAAATAATCTGCAGCAGCCGACGGAGCTGCTGGCGTGAAATAGTTTGCAAACGGCTGCGGAGCGACAGCAGAGGATGTGTTGATCTCAAAGTAGCCAGCGGATTCAGCTGGATTGTAGGCGGCCTGTGGTGGTGGTGCCGCAGGCTCGTTGCTTCTGCCTGTGGCCGATTGCACTAGACCCGAAATGTTCTGTAATACGCCAGATGGCACTAGATTAGTGAGCGAGAAGAGACCGCCACTCTTGCGTTCCTCTTGAACGGGCAGTGGTGCAGGCTGCTCGTAAGCTGCTGCCCCTGCTGCCGCTGGCTGTGTGGGATATGGTGGAGCTTGGAAGGGATCAGCAGCTGGCACTGGCTGTTGATGCTGCTCCGAGAGACCGGGTATGGGCGCGTATAGCTTCTTCCTGGCGCTGATGCGATAAGTGTTCTGTCCAGCCGACGAGGGCGGCGGTGGCAAAGCGCCAGCAGCTAAGCTTGGCACCTCTGTGGGTGCATAGAATTTCGGTGGCTCTGGTGCAGCCTCGCCGGCATGTGCCGGTGGTGCGGCGTAGAAGGGCGCTGGTGCAGCAGCTGCCGCGTGCACTTGACCCGCCTGCTGTATATAAGTCGGCTGTATATCCAATTGAGGCTGAGCCTCGTCCGCTTCCCGAGTGCCCGCGTATATGCGCTTCGAGAACGTCGAGAAGACGTTGGAGGCCACCGAGGGCAAGGCGCCAAACGAAGACGCCGCCTGGCTGAGCAGAGAGTCTGCGGCGAGCGGCGGCTCTAGCAACGGATTCGCATTGGCATCCGCACCGCTCTGATATGGATTGTTGGATGCGTTCGTTGTTGTCGCCGAGTCGTCGCTGCTGCTGGCGTTCAAGTTAATCTCGTCAAGCGCTTCACTCTCGTCAATACCGGACGGCTGTCCAACGGTCACCAGGGTTTTGGGCTCTGCAAATGCATATCGAAACGAAAACCAAATGAGTTATTCTCTTCGCCTCAGTTTCCGGAAGTAAGCGTAATAAACTAATCAATATGCTAATCAAAATCAACGCGGCCTCCAGCTGGTCATTATCTAGTGATTAGCTAAAGAGCAGAGTATAGCGAAGCAGCACAGTTAATTTCAGTTGATCTACGATCGAATAAAGTATCGCATCTACATTTTTAATCTACTTCTATTTATAAAACTCAACTTGACGAAAATGAATTGAGTATATTATTTACTCTTCGTTTTCGGCAATACTTTAGCATCTTGCCTTTGAATACCTAAAGATAAAAATATATGATTTACATATTTTTTTAAATAAAGTAAAACTATTAAAGTAATAACTTAGTTTTAAATAAAATTGTTTAAGAGTTGTTATACATATATATGTAATTAATATATATATGTATTTACAAGATTTCAAGAAGAAACCATAATACTTCGAAAGAACTACAAAACATTTTCATAAAAATATATATCTTGTATAAATACAAAATTTCCTACAATTTACCACTAACCAGTGAAGTTACGAAACATGTTTATTAAAAATCATGACATCTTCGTATTATAGAAGATTTACACATAAAACCTCAAACGTATTACAAAAGATTTTCATTAAAAATGAATTCTTCTTGCATTTTCAAAACATAATTCACACTTCTCATCAAATTATAATCATTATCATTTCATGGCGATCCTCATTGCTCAATTATTTGATTGAAAATACAATATTTATGCGCTTGCACTCGTCCAAGCTTCATAAAAAGCCAAAAATTGGCATTAGCCGAGCTCAAATGTCATGACATTTGAAGAAGTTGTTAGTTTTAGCTGGTTTTTCTTTATTTATTTACGTATTGCTATCATCTTCGAGTGTGTATATGTGTGTGTGTGTTAGTTGGTCGTTGGGCCAGAAAGAAAGTCAGTGCAAATGCAGATGCAGTTGACGCTGACGCTGAGGCTAAGGCTGACTGAGACTGAGGGCTTGAAGCATAGCAAACGTGCCATTTGACTGGGTAAGCGTCGGTAGTAAGAATTCACCTCGATCTTAAAACGTGATTCGAACTGTGGACTGTGTGCCGGCCTTTGGTTGGTTGTGTTTTTTTTTTTAACACCTTGTTGTAGCCGCTGTAACCAGTGTTCAAGTATTCCAAGCATTGCAATTTGAAATCGTAAATATTTATGCTCGCGTTTGGCATATTTGCGAACACTCGCCAGCTGCAGCAACAGCGATAAAAGCTAGCCAGAGCAACGAGATCAGCTTAGAGCAGCTCAGATTTAACAGTTAGAGAGATAGAGCTCTTAGAATTTATCAGGTGTCCGGCATCGGTGTGTGTGATCGTTGCATAACTGTGATTAGTTCTAGCTGACAGCTAGCAATAGAGCAGGTACCTGATATAACGACCCAGTTAATCTCAATTGTCACGAATGGCTGTGTATCTGTTTGCTCTGAATCATCTTTATGCGTTACAGTTTAACTACGCGCTATTTGAGCATTTAACAGCACTGTATTTATGCGTAACAGGCGTCGTAATTATCGATATGTCCCAAAGCTTTACATGCAAAGGGGAAATGTCGCAAGGGAAATTTTTCTCATAATAAAAAGTACGATAGTTATTAGACAAGTATTAATTAAGTATTGTAATATTTTAATCGATAACATTTAATTTGTTGCTGCGCTGCAAATGCAGCTGCAGTAATTGCAAGACTTGACAGCGTTAGATTATAATAAGTTTACATAACAGAAATTAAGTTGGAATATGCATATTAAGAAATTAAGTGGGAATATGCATATTAAGCGATAAATCATTAATAAAACTTGATGGAATTGATAAGCAATTAGTTACAGATATTATAAATATAAATAGCGAGAAACTTACAAGTAAACTTACTGAGAAAGACTTTTAGGATACAAAATAAATTAATAGTAATTCATTTTTAAAGTCATAAATATTAGATAACTATTTATGGGCTTTTTCCTTGACATTAATGTGCAAAAGAGGCGAGAAACTATTTGTCAAAACTAGCAAAATAGAATTATTTATTCTACACAAATTCTTATATGTCATACAAGAAAATAAAAAGTACCGGAAAACCATTTGTTGTTTTCCAGTTAACTCGAGGTATTATGCCATATTTTCCATATGGTATATAGATTTCAATAAACTTGACTGTCATTTTTTAAGGCGTCAGCCAATTGTTTGACTAATGTAACTCCATGAAAACAAACAAATACAAAAAATAACAATGAAAAGAAAAAAACAAAAACATCGACAGCAAACAACTTTAAACAAATTTGTAACTATAGACCGCATTGGAAAACGATTTGTAAGGGGGACGTACGGCTTAAAAGTCATTAAATAACAGCAAAAATTTCCAGTTTTGTCTTGAAATGTTTTTTTTTTTTTTTCATCTTTTTTGTTGTAGTTTTTTCCTGTACCTATTTTTTTATGTCTATATATACTTTTTTTTTAATATTTACAAAAGGCCGACAATGACAATGACGCATTTTTGACAAATCGTTAAAGCAAATATATGCGGCTATATACGTACGTATATGTGCGATTGTCTAACCGCAAAGTCTAGGCACATATGAAAAGTAGAACAGCAGAGCTCAAATAAGGCCCGAACCGCACATTAGGCATAAAATAAAAAAAAAAAAAACTAAAAAGAAATGAAGAGGAATTTGCTTTGGCATGACATCATAACGATCATAAACGAATCGAGCCAGCATAAGCACTTAAGACAAGCAAAAAAAAGAGTAAAAAAAAAAACCAGTCGCTGTCGTCTGCTCCAAGTGCCTGCACATAATAGCACTCAAATAAAACAATTAAGGCACACATAAGCACGTCAAGAGACGATGAAATCATTTGCAGGATACACACACACACACACACACACACATACATACATACATACACTTTGGACAACCAATAAAGATGCCCCGAAAAGATTGCCAGCAATTTGGGTTTAAGGCTCGTGCAGGTCGCATGCCAAAAATGAGGGATCCAACACAAAAATGTTTAAGAAATGTTGAAAAAGCAAAAAGAAAAGAAATGAAACGAAACGAAACGAAACGAAGAAGACAAAATAAGTAAATAAACACCAGCTTTGGCATTTTTGGCATTGAACCCTCCGGCAACGAAATGCCCAAAAAACAAGAGCGAAATGAAATCAAAATAAAACTCAAAAGCTCAATAAAAATGCGTGCTTGGAGCTGCTTGGAGACGCTGCTGTGCGATGCTCGAGACGACGGTTTGTCTGATATAAATAAAATGCACGATTTTTCTATAACCATCACAACAAGAGCCCAAAAAACAACCAACAAAACACTAGAAGATGACGAAAAAGAAGAAGAAGACGATGATGATGAAAATGTTCAACATTTTTTGTTTGTTTTTATCTTGTTTTCTTAATGTTGTCGAAGCCATTTATACACTTGGCATTTTCACTTCAGAACATTTCGTAAAGGCCAAAAATAATGTCGATTAGTGAGATATAATTGCGGCTAATATATGTAAAATGTTAGAGCTTTAAGTTTTGGCAGTTGATGAGAGAGCTGATGTATAATTAAGTAAAAGTAGTTTTCGATTTAGTTGCTAAGAATTATTTTTAAATGAGCTGAACCAGTTTGAACTAGATATAATACTTTCTGTCAAGATCTCAGCTCAGCTCAGATGAACTGGTTGATACAAAGGAAAGTCAGCATTATTTTGCTTCCTACTGCTCTAATTCAGATTCAAGATTCCGTTTATAAATGATTTCTTATTTTTATATTATTATCAAATATTTCATATCGTATAGTTAACCAACGGAGTTCCTTCCGCTTTCATTATAATTTCTTCTTGCTAAAGGCTTCAAAGTCAGATCTGACTCATATACTATGTAGGCACGCATCTATAACACTCACTCAAATGAGTTCCTACAAATATTGTCCAGGGCTCCGTCACACTGCTATGCCCCCATTTCGTAATTCCACAAATAATTTGAACTTTAACCACATTGCGAATTCGATTGATTAGAGCGTTACTTCACAGCACATTCCATGCCCGGCAAGCATCGTAAACCGGCAGTCATGCCCCTAATCCAAGAGGCAGGCACAAATACAAAAGACTTAGAGAACGAACTCAGGTAGCTGCAAATTCAAGTGAAATGCTTTTTTTTTCATTTTAAGGCTTCATGCCTGTTAAACTCTGTTAGCTGGGTAATTCCAAAACAAAATATGTCTAGTTCCACCCCAGCCCAAAAGCCACACACACACACACACACACACATACACACCCAGTTTCAAGTCTCTCAGAGTCAGCGGCCTTGTGACGCATTTCGGGCAACTGCCTGGTAATTCCATTATAGATTCTTAGCAGTATAATCTTATCAATAAGGTGCGCTCTGTTTGCAGCGTATTATGCCTATGTCCGCTTGCAACCAATTGCTAAATATTTAAACAATTTATGAGACACGCTCAAATTTAAACACACACATATACACACACATGTACAGACAATTGCACAACTATAAGTCAAGTTGATGAGCTGCGACTACAAAAGGGCGTGTAATTAGGAAACGTTGTTTTAGTATCGTTACGATCGTTAGCTCGTACAGCAGTATTCAAGAATATATATATAATAATAAATTGTGCTCACCCACGTAAGGATATATATTATACCATATACATATAATCGCGACTAACACTGCCTCTCACCAGCTCGAAGAGTGTGAAACGTTTATTGGGCAGCGAATGCAACAAGTTGGTAAATTTTTTGATTGATTAGCATCTACCAAGCAACAACAAATTAAGAAATATAATCGAAATTCGAGTTTATAAGTGTGTTTTCAATCAAATCGCTCGATCGATCGATCATCAAAAATTTAGCGTTAATCAAGTAAATTAATACATATTGCGAGTGTACTATATAGATTCACGAAACGATTGCCAAACATTTAAAGTCAATCAGTATATTTGGGTTTT